AAAATGGAGGGAAGGGAGCCCATTCTTTTACTCGTCTCCTTTTGTTCCATAAAAAGGATCGCATTTCTCCAGGGAGATGGACTATGAAAGGCGCGAGGAGGAAAAAAAAAACGTATACATCAACCGGAGCCAACAACGCCTCAGAGCAAAGAAAAGTTTCGCCTGAAGGTCGAGAACGGCGACGCAGATGAAAAAAATTTATAATATTTCGGTATTTTGCTCGCAGCCTTTGACGTGCATTTTTCGGCCGCACAGTCACGCAATGTAAACATTTCTACGTATGGTTTTGTAATTATGTACACAGGGGCGGCCATCTTTTCTCGTTACATAGGCATTTGCTGCTTCCTACTTGGCCTCGCAGCGCTGCGATTGCGCTTTACTGGCTTTTCTCCAGCAACGCAAGCCTACTGGTCATCCCTGACTGGATGAAGACGACGCACTCCACGCGGATGAGGTTTTCTCTCGGCAGTTCTTAAACTACACGAAAAAAAACCCAAGCGTGGTCAGCAACAGGAACCTCTAGATTTGCTGATGAGGACATTTTACAGTTGTCACAGGAGAAGGGGAATGTTTATATGGGGACACCTGTCCTGGTGATTTCCCCTTACTGTGCAGAGTTAGGCTCCCACTTCCTGTCCCAGAGACGCAACAGGAAGTGAAAGAAAAAAAAAAATAGGACACAGGTAGCAGTGAAAAACCTCATGGGGTTCTAACCGTTCCACCATCCAAAACGCAGTTACCGAGCATGCTCAGCATTACAGGCCAAATGAACTTTCGGTTTAAACTAGTTACATGCATTCCAGGACCATGGCTCTCTACGGGGAAGCAGCGGTCTCTCTGCAGAGGTCTGACACACATCCTTCCTGCTAAATGGGAGCTGCAATCAGCAAGCATCAGAAGCCTGAGTGGCCCATGTAGAGAAGCCTGTCCCCCTGCCAGCATGCTGCAGAGATTAACTCTTGCTCTCTTTGGGGAAGCAGCGGTCTCTCTGCACAGATCTGACATGCCCCCCTCCCCCCCGTTGCTGAGTTAGAGATAGAGCCCTCCAATCATCAGGCAGCATGAGCCCGAGTGGCCTCCATAGCCTATGTATAGAAGCCTGTCCCCTCTGTGGGGAAGCAGTGGTCTCTCTGCACAAACCTCCATAGCCTATATAGAGAAGCAGTGGTCTCTCTGTACAGGTCTGACACCCCCC